TGTGTGTGTGTGTGTGTGTGTGTGTGTGTGCACGCGTGCACACATGTACCTTTAAGACAATGTCGAGAACCTGCATACTGTAGAGGCATTTGCTGTTATGACTCCTATGTTGCCATTATTATTCCTATGTCAGTAGGCATGGAGAGACTCAGATTCAAGGGATATTTCTGGTATAAGATCAGAAGGATTTTGGCAACAGGTTGGACATGGACAAGAAGGAAGGGGAAGTGTCAGGCATGATTCTTAAATTTCTAGCTTGGATGCTGAGCATTAGTGGGACTGCAGCCAGAGATCAAGAGGACATGAGGTGGAGCCAGTTTGTCCAGACGATGGGAGGAGGAGGAAGGACAGATAATGGGCTATAGATGCTCAATATACGATGAGAAATTCGAATCTAGAGTGTAGCAGACAGGTCAGGACTCAAACTGAGAAGTCACTGTCAAATAGTGCTAACTGAAGTGATGGGAGGTCGGGAGATCACACAGGGAGGCTGTGCAGACTGGGGATGAGAACCCAGGGTGGACCTGGAGGAGAAGGAACATGGGAGAGACAGCCTGGGGAGCGGGTACCCACAGGTGAGACTAAGAATGAGCAATTAAAGGGACAGGAGGAGAACCACACACACAGAGGAGAGATTTTCATGAAGGTGAGGATAGCAGACAGCATCAGAGCAGGCAGAGATACTGCGGAGCCCACGCTGAAAGCGGCCACGGTTTGGCAGTGCCATGAGCAGTGATGGCCTCATGGTAGCATTTCTAGTGTCCATGGTGAGAGCAAATGCAGTTGAGGGGTGAGGAGAGGTTAAGAATTGATGGACTTTTTAATGATGGCCATTCTGACTGGTGTGAGGTGATAACTCACTGTAGTTTTGATTTGCATTTCTCTGATAATTTAGCAATAGTGAGCATTTTTTCATGTGCCTCTTGGCCATTTGTGTGTCTTCACTGGAGAATTGCTTGTTTAGGTCTTCTGCCCATTTTGGGATTGGGTTGTTTGTTTTTTTGTTATTAAGTTGTATGAGCTGTTTATATATTCTGGAAGTTAAACCTTCGTTAGTCACATCATTTTGCAAATATTTCTCTTCAACAAAAAATTTTTTAATTAAAAAAAAAGGAATGATGTAGACAAGGACTTGAGAACTTGATGATAAAGGGATGAAGATGTTGGCCTAATATGGAGAAAGTGTAAGAAGAAGGTTTTGGGGGATGAGGGATACTGGTGGGATGCGGGCCTGGGGAGAGGTAGGAGATGCTGTATAGGAGACAGAAGAGAGAGTACAGGGGTGGAGAGGTTAGCCTAGAAGAGGAGAAGGGCTCTTCTGAGAGGCAGGGAGGGCTGAGTGCCCTGTCAGTGAGGTCAGGAACCCCAGGGAGAGCCTCCTGGTCACAGAGTTTCTCTGTTTCCGTTTCCTGCTCTTTGGACCAACAGCTAACTTCAGAAGAACATTAGAAAGTAGAATTGGCTTAAAGGGGCTTGGAGAGCCCACAATGACAGATGCACAGCTGGGGAACT